CAGCGTAGGGGTGGGACAGCCCCGGCCACGGCCGGTCTTATCATAGGGGCTCCGGCAGCCATAGCCGCCTGTTGCCGTTGTGCGGCGGCTATGCGTTGTCGTTGCAGACCTTGAACAAACTCCGTCAACGGGGCTACTACCGTAACTAGTTGGGCCGCGACTTCTTTCATGGATGCTTCTTCCTCGCCCCGACTTCCTTGCGTTTGACTAGAGCGACGGGAGGCCGAAGCAGAGGAAGAAGCTTTCCGATCCGAGCCTTTTTTTGTCGGTCCCAACCCGAAGCGATCTTCGAACATTCGTGTCGTAGCGGAGTAGCTATTTCGTCGAACACCCGAAGGGTCATCTTCGTCGGATTCTGAGTCCAGGCCCACATCGTAATTTTATTTCCCGTACTGAATTAGCTCTGTCAGGGTATGTTCTATAGGGTTGCATTTCTTGCGGATCTTTTTCCGCAGACGAGAGTCGGACAGTCCTCTGACGAAATCAGTCCGTACCATTTTCTCATCCACCCCCGAGCGTTCGGCTAGGTACGTAAAACGTTCAGCATATCTAGCCAAGGTCTCCCGAGGCTGCTGTGTGTATTCCTTTATTAAACGGAGGCATTGACCAGGTGTGATGTGATCAAATCTATCGAGAAATTTCCTCTGGAAGGCTGCCCAATTAGTGAAGGGGTTTTGTCCGTACCACTCAAAAGCGGTTTCGGCTAACCTTCCGGGAATTCGTTTTCGGAGCAACAGGTCCGACCAGCCCTGGGCTTTCAAGGCAGCTAGCCAGGTGCGAGGATCGGTGTCATCTTCAGAAAAAATGGGAACTTCGGAGGGATGAGGTACAAAGTACAGGGGATGATTGGCCATCCCCGCGTTGTTGTCGCCGTCGTTTTCACCCCCAATTCCGAGTTCCACCATCGCGGGAGGCAGGTTTCGAGCCCGACCTCTCGCTCGGTTTGGATTTCTATTCGCGGGCCTCCGTCGACGGTGAGCCAGCCTACTAAAAAATGCAAAAAATCTAATGAAAATATCAAAAAGAAAAAAAAAAAGGAGAAACTTTAAAACAGGGTAATCGTCCTAGGAAAACCTCGGAGCCGAAACGAATCAGCTCTGATACCAACCTCACGCCCCCTCGCAGCTTCCTGTATGGGGTGGGGGGTCGCCGATCAGAGTTCTAGGAGGGGCGTGGCCGAGGATTTTTTGTCGTAAGGGTTGAGTCTCTCGGACAGAACGGGAGGCTCTCGTTTCTTAACCAAGGTTTTTCTCGGAGTCGAACTGTCGTCGCGAAGTCCTGCGGGGGTCGGATTACTCCGAAACGATAAAATCAGAAGGGTTTCAGTGAAAATGAATTGACGTCGTGCATTGGGACGGGAAAAGGCATCAAGGGGAGGAGGCCATGGCGGCAGACGACAAAAACTTCGGCGTCATGGGTTCCGGGGATAGATGGTGGGTTCGAAGCCTTCAGGCCTCGTCATCGGCCCCACAAAGTGGCCGAACCCTCGGGTCTTTYGCTGTAGAGGTGGTTGGTTCGAGGCCTTCAAGCCTCGGCGTCGGACTCATAGAGCCCGCGCRAAAGTTTCCGGGAGGGTAGAGCGGCGGGAGGACCYGCCGGCATCTGAATTCGAAATTGCGCGGGCAGCGCCCCCGCACTACGGGAAAGCTYGGGGAAACGTGTYGCTCCCTCGTAACCCAGGACCAATCGWCGCCACGAACACGAGTCCCCCTSRCGACACCAGCRACAATCAAACTGCGGTCGCCAMGAGGCGTGAGCGGCCGACCAGGGCAAMACCGTTAAACCCGTATAAGGCAATATTAGAGTCGGGGAATCAAAGCRATCMATCAACACARACCCGTTCCCCCTTATCTCACAAGCCCGAGGCGGGTCTTGCCAACACACTTGCTCCGTCCGCCTCAGCGCGCGYCKTACGTCCGCATCGCAGTAGACRCTGTCGTCATCTGTGATGGGGAAGGTYGGTAGCGAAATGAGACGATCGGAGGTACGTGGTGAACACGGGCAAGATCYCGCGTTCCCGGTCATCCGAACCAACACCGAATCCATACAACAAACRTCGCAACTCTTCTCTCTCGAAAGTGGGTGCGTAGGGGGAGGATGACGAAATCTAAGCTTTCTCYCCTTGGCGGGGGCGTCGACCKTCCGCGCRGACGCAGGCGGTTGACGTCACCGGTACGAGGACGAGAARCTCTAAAAGGCGATGACTGTTAGTTCAAGAGGAAGGCGATCGAAAAGGGAGAGARAGAGAGTTACGCCAAGSCCGYRCGGGAGCGCARGAAAGGYCGCRGAGGGGAGGGGAACAACCGGATCAACACACTCATACTCCTAAGCAGACGGTCCCCSAGTTCAGTTTCCCCATCCCCSCCCGGACGAGTACATACACACATACATGCATGCAATCAACAACCCTTGTCAGGACATCTAATCATCCATGGACCTTCGACGTCACTCATGCGCATAACCAGCTCCCATCACTCGGGGCTTCACACACACGACATGCATAGAAAAAGCAGCAATGGAGATAAAAGCGAGTCCTTCTTGTACACAAAAATTTCAATTAACTGCTGCCCCCAGGCGCAGCCTTCAAAACTTCCCAAGACCACCGACCACCATAGCCACAA